CATAGAACCCTCGAGAAGGTCAACACAGACATCGGGCTGGGCACTGGCAGGACTCCGTGATGCAGCAGCTGACACGTGCCTGTTCCCCCATCAGATGAGGCAGGGCTTGTTCAGCATGCACACGAGGTATCACCCAGACGCTCAGGCCCAGGGGCCCTTCCACTGGCAGCAGCAGGTCCCAGAAGTGTGGGGGGGGTTGCTTTAACACACAGGGGTCCCTGGCCTCAGCCACCCGCCCGTGAGATCAACCCAGCAGTTGCTGGGGCGGTTTTCCCCCTCTGAGGCCGTGCCTGCTGCCCCTGCTTGAAGCTAGGATGGACTTTTGTGCATCTGGGAGTTTCTTTCTGGGCAACACAGACGTTCCCTCACGTCGTGCTTCAAACGATTGAATAGGTGTCTGCCAAGTGGGGTTCCAGCTACGGGCTGCGCTGGGTGCCCAGGGGGAGCGTGCGGAAGCCCGGCTGCAGGGGCCTCACGCTGGGAAGCAGGCTTGGCCGGCCAGAGATCGTGCAGCTCCTTTATTGTCCAAATTCTAGTTAATGAGCAAGCAGCGTCGTGTCTGCAGTATAATAGATGCTTGGCTTACAAAAGAGAGAAAGAAGGACCCACTTTCACCGCGAGGGAGGTGTGAAGGGCTGTTTGGCGTGTGTTAGGCGCGGCTGTCTCTCATGGGCACTTGATTGGATCCCAGCAATTAGCTGTTGCCTAATTATCCTCCCTGCTTCCTCGGTGCCTATCATCCCCAGATCTTAGAGCTCTTGGCAGACACGTATGAGCCTTCACATCCCATTTTACAGATGAGTAAACTAAGGATCAGAGAGAAGTTACTTGATTTTCCCAGAGTCTGGGAGGGCAGGGCTCTCTCTGAGCCCGAGACACGCCCGTAAGCAGCTTGTCATTTGGGGCTTCCCATCAGTATAAAGGAAGTCATAATTGGGCCCTGCTTCCAGGCATTTGCCATAAAACATGGTGCAATCTGAAGATGAAAGTGCAGAATGAACGTGAGGTATTATTTCTTGAAACACCTAGACTCAAAAGAAGACTGAAGTACAAAGCAACCACGTTAGCAACCGAGTGCTTCTGACAAAAGGGGGATGCGGTCGGCCTGAGACATCCCCGTTTAAGTTTTACTGTGAGATGACGCAGAAACCGTGAACTTCAGAGGGTTGCTCTAGGGCCCTCCCCAGCCACGAAAGGGAAGGGAGACTGTCCACAGGGTCCTGAGGGCTGTTGTCCTCATAGCGGGCGACAGTGGCGCTGGGCTTGGGGACGGCGGTGGGGCCTCAGAGACCCGCTGGTGGAAGGGGTCCTCTCACGGCTGTCTTTTCCCCGTAGCGTCGGGGGAACAGGAGGCTGGTCGGCCAAGGGCTGCGAGCTGCTGTCCCGGAACCGGACCCACGTCTCCTGTCAGTGCAGTCACATGGCCAGCTTTGCCGTGCTCATGGACGTCTCCAGACGCGAGGTGGGCGCGGGCCCCGCGGGCAGCCCTGCCCTTCCAGCACGTGTGTCCAGGGATGAGTCCCTTTGGGAAGTTAGCCTGGCCCCAAACTTGCCCCCTCCACAGACCGAATCCACGATTAAAACCCGTGTTCAGGAGGGTTGGCCAGAATCTTCCAGGATTTCCAGACCAAAACTCCTTGGAAACAGCGTTCTAAGAGGCTGGGTTGTAAATTAAAAACCCTGGTGGCAGACCCCGAGCCTCAGCCCGAAAAGAAAGCCCTGGAGAAGCCTCACTTCAAAGCAGGATTCCCGGTGTTCTGTTAGATGGTGCTGTGTCTACCCCGCTTTAAATTTTAAGGGAGAACAGAGCCGGCTGGCCGGGACAAAGGGAGTGTCACCCATTAACACCACACACACTGGCCCAGAGACACAAAAGAGGGGGCTCGGTCGGGAGCCACCGGGGCCAGCTAATGTTTAACCTCTGGCATTTTCCCGGGCCTGGGAATGTGAGCCAGCCTCTGTGAGCCCGCGGGTGAATAGGGCAGATAGGGCAGTGGGCCCCCAGCAGGCAGGCAGCGAAGTCAGCCTGGGCTCAGACGTGTGCGGATGTTGGTGTCTGGGAGCCAGAACCGAGGCCTTGGGGGGGCCTCACCTGGCACATTTTTTTCAGGCCTGGGATGTGTCCCAGGAGGCCAGGCCATGGTCCCTTCCAAAAGGTCTCTGGTACGCAGGTTTCTGTCACATTGTTCGGAGGGTGACAGCCCCGAGTTGCTGCTGATGGCAGCCAGGGTGACAAGAGGAAAGGGTGTGCCCTGGGTCCTTCCCCTGATCGCAAAGCTCCCGTGGGCAGGGGGCACTTTTGAGCCGGTTGCCCCAGGTCCTGACCTACAAGGGGTTAGTTATTAGTGGGGCGGGATTGGGGTTCGTCCCCTAGCCAGGGAGCTGGGTGGTGCCGGGAGCTGACTCACAGGTGGAGGAAGCTGAGGTTCAGGGAGAAGTCAAACTGGAAGAGGGCTCACTGCTCCCTGCCCAGGGGCCTCGTCCAACAGCAGGAGGCAGCCTCTGGGCCGCGGGAGTGCAGCGGGAGGGAGCCCTGAGCCCTCAGCCTCCCCTCCTGGCTCCCAGCCTTTCCCCGGTAGCCCCGCTCACAATCCCATGCGAGTCGCTGAATTCCAAACAACGCTTTCTGGGGGTTCCCCGAGAGCCGGAGCTTAGGTCGCTTCCTAAGTGGCAAGGCTCCGTGGGGTCCTGGACACCTGTCCTGTTTTGCAAAAGCACAGGGGGACGGCAGCAGCCCCATGCAGCTGTGGCCCATCTGCCTTCTGTGTGCTGAGAGTGTGTGTGCAAGTCCCTCCCGGCTCCGAATTTGGGGCACACAGGCTCAGCATCTCCTGGATGGTAGCATTTATGTGTGAGGTTTTTTTTACATTTTTTTTATTGGGACGAAATATACAGAACACAGATTCACCGCCCCAGTCACGTGTCAGTGGACAGGCCATTCAGTGTGGTGCAGCCACCATCCCTCTCCAGAACTTTCTTTTTAACCCCCCAATAATTCATTTGGAGTTTTTCTTGGTTTTTGGCAGCCTGAGAACCATGTCACAGTCATGTTGGTTCTGCCCATAGTAAGCTCAACCTTAACATGCTTTCATTGTGCAAAAGCCCCATCAGAGCAAGTCCTCACGTCCTTCTGCCTTACCCGCCCCCCTGCCCGCAGCACGGAGAGGTCCTGCCCCTGAAGATTGTCACCTACGCCGCCGTGTCCTTGTCGCTGGCCGCCCTGCTGGTGGCCTTCATCCTCCTCGTGCTGGTGCGGACGCTGCGCTCCAACCTGCACGGCATCCACAAGAACCTCATCGGGGCGCTCTTCTTCTCCCAGCTGGTGTTCGTGATCGGGATCACGCAGACGGGAAACCCGGTGAGGTCCCTCTGCCGCCGCCCCGGGGGTGCGCGCGCAGACCGTCAGACCTCTCTCCGAGGCGGAGGCAGCGCGTTGTATTTAAAGTGGAACTTACAGAGGAGCGAGTGGGGGTGACCGCGGTGGAGACGTGAAGTGGGTTGGGCTTGAGGGAGGCGAGGACTAGAGGTGAGCTGCTGCTGGCGGAGCTTCTGCAGGAGGCCAGAGATCTGAGCCCCTGCCACATCTAGGGAAGGAAGGAGGGAGGGAGGGCGGCTGATGGCGGGGGAAGGGTCCCTGGGGCGTGGGGTAGGGAGCAGCCTTGGAGGGGAGGTGGTGGCACAGCCAATGGGACGGGTACAAGAGAAGCGCACCGGGAAGCTGGGAGGTCTGTGGCTTCCGCTGTGCCTGCCTGGTGGCAAAGTGATTTAACATGTTTACGGTGGGGATTTGCAAAACACAAGGGTCCCAGCTGGCTGACCCTGGTGGGGAGGGGGGCAGGGTTGGAGGTGCAGGCTGTGTGCCCGAGGCTTGGGCTCACTGAATCCCTCCCCGTGAGGCGCCCGGGACCGGTGAGAATGAGGGACTGCCCGAGGCACACGGTTCCCTCCGTGTGGGTTCCCTTATGCGTCCATCACAAAATGGGGACCCTGTAGGCCTAGGGGGCCGCAAGGCCAGCTGGCCAGCACATGTGCGTATGTAGGGACTCCGCGAAGTCCGAAGGTCACTCTCACATAATCCCGATCTCTCCCAAGGTGAGCAATGGGCTCCTGGTGGGCCATTCCAATACGGCCACCAAGTGCTGTTGACAGAGCTGTCGTTTCCTTCCATCCTCATGCAGCGAGGACCTGCTGATTGCCACTATGTTCCATCTACCCAAGACCCAGATCCAGGAGGCCCCCCCAGCCCCACCCATGGAGCCTCCGTTCCTGACATGGGCACACACGGCAGTTCTTGAGTGTCACGTGCCAAAATGGTGCCATGGTGGCAGGTGGGGGAGCTTGCCTGGTTAGGGAAGGACTGACCATCCAGTGGGAGGGCTCCAGGATAAGTCAGGACAGGTTGGGGAATCTGGTCCCCCAGGGCCCGAGGGGCCACACCAGGCAGGGCCACGTTCCTTTTGCAGGCAGCGCTGTACCACGGAGAGCCATGACCGGTCTGCATGTTAGGAAGATGCCCGGAGGTCAGAAGAGCAGGCAGGGTGCTATCTTCGTAGGTCCGCTGGATGGAGGCGAGGCCTGGAACCGAAGTCAGGGCAGCGGGCATGAGGAGAAGGGCAGGAGTCAGGGCTAAGTGGGCATGGAGGGAGGAGGGGTGCCTTAGGTCTCCAGAAGGGGGACGAGTAGGTGAGGATGCCGCAAAGTGAGATGAAGACTGAGACAGGGTGGCTGGTCTGGGTGTGGCTGGCCAAGCCGTGGGAGGCTGAGGGCAGACGTGCAGGGGGAGGCACCTTCACATTTCCCGTGAAGAGGAAATGTGTCTCTGGGAATGGGTCAGCCCTAGGAGAGGAAGTGGCATAAAAGAACAAAGAGGGAATGTTCTGGCTAGCTGGTCAGGGCCACTGGCATACTTGAGCTCTTCCTCCTCGTTTGTTGCAAGCGGCAGGACCCCCTTGAGACCCTCTGGGGTGGCCAAACCTTCTCTAGAGGAAGGGGGTAGGTAGAGGCAGGGTGCCCTGATGGCCTCAGGGGCTTCTCAGCCATGACTTGGGGAGCACCAGGCCTGGCAGAGGACACCCACAAGGGCAAACCTCCATGCTACCCTCCGGGGTGCTCCCCGCGGTGCTGGGCCGGCGGGGACGGGAGAGGGGCCATCACCATGTGGGGCCCTGCAGCAGTTTCTGTGCATCCAGCCAGGCAGGTGCACCTCTCCCTGCGTGTCCTTATCAGCGTATCAGACAGGTGAGGCTCTCTGTGGGAAGCCACATGACTCATTTCAAAAGCCTTCAAGAGGGCCCTTGAGTGGTCTCAGCAGAGGCAAGCCGCTCCTTGCAGCTACATACCGAGTGTGAAATGCAGAGAGGCTGTCCGCTTCTCTCAGGCACTGACTCATCTGCTGCTTTCCAGCCTGCCGCGCACCGGTGAGCACGAAGAGAAGGAATGCCGGCCGCACGTAATTCTAGGGACTTGGCACCTCGCCTGCATTTTATGGGTTTTCTGTAAACTCACAATCCCATCTCTGGGCGAGGTTTTTCATCTCCCAGATTACTGGCAGGTTGAAATGATTTATTATGCTTCGCATTTTGTCTTTGTTCTGTTTCTGGAAAAGGTAGTACATCTAGTGCAAAAGTCTGTACACATACAGCCCCATTAAATTTTAAAGTGTGTCTCTAACACTTCTTTTTTTTCAAAAGGTGGTTTTGTGGGTTTACTTTTCACATGATTGAAGGCGGCAAGCCAGCCAGCCTCCTCACTGTTCTCCCTCGTCTAAGCCCACCGTGCTTTGCAAGCGGGGGACCCTGGGGTGTACGGTGTCGGGCTCCCTGAGCCCCAGGCTCGCCCTTGACACCCAGGCTGACGGCTCTGCTCATGGCTAAGGGTAGACCTCTCGTCTCCCGACTGTGGAGTCAGAAGCAGAAGACAGGTTGTCCAGTCATATGTAAGATGCTGTCTTGTCTTCTGCTTGAGTGACCGTTTTGTCTTCTCTTTGACAAATGTCAGTGAGGGAGTTTCCTCCCTCGTCTCTGGGGGTTTGTTTCTGGGGAGAACCTGGCCTGTGCAGGCTGACATGGCAGCAGGTGTCCCTTATGTTTCCAGCCAGCCCGCGCTCTGGTCAGCTCCCCGCCAGGTACACCGGCCTGGCACCGAGCAGAACGGCCTCCAGTGTGGGTCAGGGTGGTGGCCCTGTGTCTTCTATTCCCGTGTCTGTTGGGTGGGGTGGGGGTTCTCCTGGGTAGGGACACTGAGACCCTGGGAGGTTGTGCTGATGGGACGGCAGCCAGGATTGGACAGCATGTCTCAGGAATGGGGCGAGCCTGTGGGGTGTGGCCTGGTGGAGGGGTAGCTGTGGGGTCAGGGTCTAGGTTTGGGGTGTGACCGGGAGGGGCGGGGCCTAAGTGGGGTGGGGCCTGGATGTGGGGGTGGGGCCAGGAGGGGCAGTGGCTGGATATGGGTGTGGTCAAGAGTGGGGGTGAGGTCTGGAGGGAGCCTGGATGTGAGTGTGGCCGGAGTGGGGTGTGATCCCCGGAGGGGAGGGGCCTGGGTATGTATGGGGGGGCGGTCAGGAATAGGGGGTGGGGTCAGGGGGCGGGGGCTGGATATGGGTGTGGCCAGGAGGGATGGGGCCTGGACGTGGGTGTGGCCAGGGGCGGGGCCTGGATGTGGGGGTGGTTAGGCGTGGGGTGGGGCCGGGAGGGGCAGGGCCTGAGGCCTCTCTTCCTTCCCTGCTCCTCAGAGCTTGCCCCGCCTTTTAGGACCTTGCAGGGGTGCCTGCTCACATCCCCCATCTGGGCAGCCTGGAGAACCCTGGCCAGCGCAGGCCCTGCCGGCAGGCCCCACGTGAGGCTGCTCTGGGCCAAGGCACAGCGCTCCTCGAGGTCTGGCCTGGAGCACCTCACACTGGATTCCCATTCATGGCCGCAGAGGCTGGACTCCCTGTGACCACACCATGTCCGCAGCCCCTCCCTGACACTGCCTTCGTCCCGTTCTCAGGGACCCAGGGCTGGCTCACCAAGGCCTGGAGAGGGCGGGATGCTGGCCCTGCGCTGCCCTGTGGAAGTTGGTTTCCTCTCCCGAGCACTTGGCCACACGGTGCAGCCCTGCCCTGCTGAGGACGGGAACAGAGCAAATACTCTCCTCCCTGTTCTGTTTTTGGCGGGAAGTAGGAGGCTCTGTTAACTTGGTGCAGGCAGGAGGAACTTATTTGATGGCAAGGTCATGAAGCGTGAGGCCTCCCCCTCCTCTGGCCACACCTGCTGGACCCTGCAGACACCCACACAGGGGTCCTGGGTGGCGGGTGGAGGCCAGCACCACAGCCTGGGGCCTGCAGCCTGAGCAGGCTGCCTCCATACTATTTCTTTCAACTTTAAATGCCTGTAGGTAAGAATTTGGAGTCATGTCATGAAAATGCAAGTTTCCAGCTTCTAATGAAAACATTAGAGGCTCTGCCTACCCTTGCCCTGTGTCTGCATTCCCTCCAGGCACTGCTCTGGGGTTGGGGAGGGGGTCCCCGAGGCCCCCAGGTGCCTCACTCCCCATCCTCTGTTCCACTTTGGGAGCCTGAGACACCGTGGCTCAGTGTCCAGCTATTCCTGGGTGAATCACATAGAAAGAACCAGCTAACTCGATTTCCTTTCCCAGACCCGCATACCCTCGCGTTTGCAAAGTGGTCTGATTGGTCCCTTCCCTCCCCACCCTGTGCCCATCTGCCCTTGGCCTCCGGTGCAGCAGGTGTGGGTTCCCGCGGGCCCGGCACTGAGCTGAGCTCCCTGCCCTCCCCGTCCTCACAGTTCCTGTGCACGGTGATCGCCATCCTCCTGCACTACATCTACATGAGTACCTTTGCCTGGACCTTCGTGGAGGGCCTGCACGTCTACCGAATGCTGACCGAAGTGCGCAACATCGACACCGGGCCCATGAGGTTCTACTACGTCGTGGGCTGGGGCATCCCGGCCATCATTACGGGTGAGGACTGGAGGAGCAGCCCTGGGGGGGTGGCTTGGGCCGGGAGCTAACCACCGCTTGGGGAGTCCACATGACACTGCCCCCACAGAAGCCCACGTCAGCTTGGCCCGCGCCCCTGGGCCCGGACGGACGAGCTCTCTGGCCTCCTCTGTCTTTGGTACCCAGCGTGACCGGCCCCCGGCAGAGGAGGCCCTGCCCTACGCTTGCGTCTGCGCACATGAGCGTGATCGTTCAGTGCCCGCTGGGGGGTGCATCTCCTGCGAGGTGTGGCGTGGGCTCCTTGAGAGCTGGCTGCGGGTCTGCTCGGGGTTCTGTCTGTGGCACCTAACGGACGAAAACTCCGCGTCTGCCCGGCGTGTGGGTGGGTGGGTATGTGTGCACGTTCACGTGTGTGCGTGTGTTCTGTCTGTGGTGTGTGTGTTCTGTGTGTGGTTGTATGTTGTGTGTGTGGTACGTGTGGTTTGTGTGTGGTGTGTGTGTATGTAGTGTGTGTGTGGTCTGTATGTGGTATGCGTGGTCTGTACGTGTGGTCTGTCCGTGATGTGTGTGGTGTGTGTGCGTGGTACGTGAGGTCCGTATGTGGAGCGTGTGTGTGCGCAGGCCTGGGAATGTCACCTGTGGCCACGCGCCGCCCAGGCTGGCCCTCAGGAGGGGCCTCTCCTGGGTTGTGGCCCTCACTTCCCTCCCTGTCGTCCAGGACTCGCGGTGGGCCTGGACCCCCAGGGCTATGGAAACCCTGACTTCTGCTGGCTGTCCCTTCGAGACACCCTGATCTGGAGCTTCGCCGGGCCCATTGGAACAGTTATCATTGTGAGTCCAGGAGTTTTTGCAGAGCCCACGATTCTCGGGGATGTGTGAAGCTGGGTGCGTGGGCTGGGAGGGGTTTTGGGGGCCGGCGGGATCCTTGGCTCCTCAGAGCGGCCTGTTGGGCAGGAAGAGCTGATCTCATGGTGCTGGGGCCTCGCCTTTGGACCTGCGGATCGTCCCACGTCTGCGTCCTCATCCACCATGAGGCAGCTCAGCGTCCAGCCCTCAGGAGGGTCCCTGCGGGCAGGCAGGGCGTGTGAGGCCTTCTCGTTCCAGCCACACCTCGAGACGCGGACGAAGACCCTCAGAAGTGTTTGGTCTTCAGATCTTTTGTGGCGATACTGACAAGCTGGCCACCTGACTTTGGTTTTTAAAAATGTTTTTCAGGTCAACACAGTCATTTTTGTCCTGTCTGCAAAGGTCTCCTGCCAAAGAAAGCATCATTATTATGAAAGGAAAGGAGTCGTGTAAGTTGGTGCCAACGCTGACGGGCGGGTGGGACCCCCAGTGTGGGTTTGCACGCCCACCAGAGCCACCTGAAAGTGCCTGTCACCCCGTGGCCAGGCCCTTGGCCACCCCCCAGCTCGGCCACTGGGGAGGTGACAGCCACACAGACGCATCGGCAGGCCGCAGTGGGGAGAGGCCAGAGCACCGAGGCACATGGAGGAGAGGGAGGGGGCTGGGCACAGGGAGGCCTGGGGCAGGGAGAGGGACGCCGGGACCCCCAGAGATGGTAGGGTGTAGGCTCTGCAGCATTCGGTGGTGGAGTCGCTGAAGGGAGCAGGCTTGGACTCTGTCCTCCTCGCCAAGGCCTGTTAACAGACAGATATAGAGGAGGAGGGGGCGATGACAGCCGGGGGAAGGGAGGTGCTGAGCTGCCTGGATGCAGCAGAGTGGAGTCAGGCAGGGTGTCGGGGCGCAGGGGGCTGGCACTTTCTGGGTTGGTGGTGACGGTGATGTTGTGGCCACAGGAGTGGAGAGTTATCTAGGCGCTTAAAAAAGTGTTGGGCAGGAAGGGAGGGGGGTCGATAAGTGGCTGGACGGCGGGGGCGGGTGCAGGGGAGGGAGGGGGCCCAGAGTCACCCCCGCCCCTGCGCCCCTCTGCCAGCTCCTTGCTCCGGACTGCCTTCCTCCTACTGGGGCTCATCAGCGCCACCTGGCTGCTGGGGCTGCTGGCCGTGAACAGCGACTCGCTGGCCTTCCACTACCTCTTCGCGGTCTTCAGCGGCTTGCAGGTGGGCAGCTGTCCCAGCGACCCGGTGGGCCTCCGCTGGGGCGGGCCTTGGTGAGGTCCTGGGTCACTTGTGCTACCTGCTGTCCAAAAGGCCCGGGGGAGATCCTGGACCCAGGGTCCGAGGACAGACGGGGCCTCGGCGTGGCTGTCACAGTGTGGCCGCGGCGTGCTGGGGGTTCCGGTGACGCCTCTCCGCACGCGGTCCTGCCCCCAACAAGGAACCTGGGGTCCCAAGCACAGCTCTGTCCAGGGCCTTCCCAGGGACCCCCAGGACACTGTCCTTTGCTCAGCCGGTGCCGGGGCTCATCCTCCCTCCGCGGGGCAGAGTACATCCCACTCGTGTCCACAGGGACGGTGTTGGCCACTTACAGTTCACCCCGAGGGTCTTCCCAGCCAGTGGTGTCACGTTGGGGACGCAGATGGCCCGAGGGTTGTGGCCGGGGACGAGCCCTCCTGGCCCCTGGCGTGCTGGCTGCCCTGCCCCCGCTCCCCTGGGCAAGCAGAGGCCCCGGGGAGGGGGTACCCAGGCGGGCCCCGGGCACTCAGCGGCATGTGTCGGCGGCGCCGCTCTGTGCCTTCTCAGGCAGGCGGGCGTGCCGTCCGGCGGCCACAGGACCCTGGCTGCTTTCCTGACCGCCGGTCCCTGCCCTGACCGGCCGCCCTTCCCTCCAGGGTCTCTTCGTCCTCCTATTCCACTGCGTGCTCAACAGGGAGGTCCGGAAGCACCTGAAGGGGGCGCTCTCCGGGAAGAAGCTGCACCCGGATGACTCGGCCACCACGAGGGCCACCCTGCTGACGGTAGGCGGTGCCGGGGGACCCCCATGGCCGGGGGGGCCGTGTGGGTTTCTAGACCAAGCATTCGACGCAGCCGCCCAGTCTCTGGGACCCAGGCATCAGAGAGCCCCCCTTGGAGAGTGGCATCGGGCCTGATACCATTCCTCATATCCTGGGAAGAGAGCAGCGTTCACCAGATGGGGTCTGTCCTCGTCACAGCCCCATTGTTCAGGGTCGCAGAGGACAGGGTGGCGACAGGCTAGGACCCCTGACCAGAAGCCGTGGCTGTGGGCAGGAAGCCGTCCTCGGACCACTGCGGGGGCTGGGGCTGCTCTCCTCTCGGCCGCCACGAGGCCCCTGGGCTCTGTGCTGGGCAGGGGCTCAGTCAGGTGCTGGCACCGGGGCTTGCTGTGGGGACAGAGGCGTCCTGTGCACCCCAGGGGCCTCTGCTCTGGCGATAACCATGCCCCCTCCCGCAGCGCTCCCTCAACTGCAACCACACGTACAGCGAGGAGCCCAACATGTTCCGCACGGCCCTGGGCGAGTCCACTGCCTCGCTGGACAGCACCGTCAGGTCAGGCCGGAGCCGGGCGCCCTCGCTCGTACCCAGGGAAGGGGGAGGCCCGACTCTCAGGGCGAATGCGGGCTGTCAAGCCAGCTGGGGAGGCCCGAGCGGTGTGCCCTGCTGTTCTAGCTGATGTGTGGTTCCCCATGTGCTCTGGGAGTCTTTCGTGGCAGCAAACCTTCCAGAGCCCCGTGGGGCCATCTTGGCACATTCCAACGGTGCCCGGTGATGTTGGGTGTTCATGTCATGCAACCCCCTGAGTGATGGTGCTGAGCTCCCCCTCCTACCCTCTCTAGGGACGAAGGGGGCCAGAAACTCAGCGTGTCCTCTGGGCCAGCACGGGGTGGCCATGGGGAGCCAGATTCATCCTTTGTCCCCAGGAACACCAAGAAGCACCACGGTATGTGTCCCCTGGAAGGTGATCCCCCATCCATCTGGGCATCTCCCTCCCGGGGGGCCATGGTGGGGAGCTTCTTGTCGGCTCTTGTCCGGCCCATGGGCCTCTCGGTCACTGGACGTACAGCCTCAGAGAGGAGTCTGCGGCTGCATCCCAGTCAGAAGGCCAAAAGGGAAACAATTGCTCCCCAGTGCCCGGGGCCCAGCTGGCCCCCCTCTGCCCTTGGCCTGAGCCTGCGTCCCTCCTGTCCACCCTGTAGGCCACGATTCAGACTCCGATAGCGAGCTGTCCCTGGATGAGCAAAGCAGCTCCTATGCATCCTCGCACTCGTCAGACAGCGAGGATGATGGGGTGGGAGCTGAGGACAAATGGGACTCAGCTCGGGGCCCTGTCCACAGCACCCCCAAAGGTGAGCCAGTGTTGGGCTGTGGAGTGTCTGAGGGCCTGCCTCCCTCCCGGGATGGAGAGCAGCGGCAGCATGGAGGGACAGCAGGTGGGAGG